ATCATATGTCCTATTTGATGTGTCTTCAGCATACATGGTTGTTCCGTCATTATTTAAGTGTAAAGCAGTGGTTTTTGTAAGATCTGAAGATTTTTTCCTATTCACACAGTGGAACCACTGTAGTCACTCGAGATTTATTTATTTTTTTCTGCACTTTTCGGTTACTAATTCATGTCTTCATGGGTTAGTGCTCCTGTCCTGGTGCAAATGTGTCTTGAAAGAACAAGTTTGTTTGTTTCCTTCAGTTTTCTTGTATTTGTGTAGGCTAATGAATAAAAAATAATGTCCAAAGTATGTATTTGTCTTTGACTTAACTCCTCATGTTTTTTGCAGTTTTCAGTTGAGATCTAAAGCCATATCCATTAAAGTTGATCCAAATTTTTCCAATCAAATCAAGGATTCGTCTCTTTCTGGGTTTTTATTGAGGTGTGGTTATGATTACTACCTTTACTCAGAAAACTTTAGATATGCTAAATCTCAAGTATGTGGCACAGAACATTAGTGTTTCTTTTCTGGAGAGTCTACACTTACAGTTGCAATAAATCATTCTTGGGAGATTGGCAAAAAGTTACAAACCCTGCTTGGTCCAGGAGTTACACCAAGGGGTGCTCCTCAGGAAATCACAGTTCCTTCAATGGGGTGCTGTGCAGAGGTTTTGGTGCTTTGTGATGAGTATCTGAGAGCTCAAGCAAACAAGTGTAGACATCTAACTTGATCAGAAGCCTTTTAAATATAATTAATATAATCCTATAAACGTATTCTTTCATTCTTAGCAAATACTGAGTAACTGATGAAAGAATGGCCCAGCTTTGCTATCTGTGTGTTCACTTTGCAGTATCATTTCAACAAAAAGAAGGAATGGTCTTCTGCTGTATATGGTGCTATAGTTTCTGCTGCTTCTAGATCAGCTTTAGGTGAAGTGCATGATTGACATAACATGTTTTATAAAAGTACATCTGTCTTTCAAGTGGTGAGAAGAAAAATAGGTGCTTTCAGCTGATTATAGAAAAATAAATGTTTTCACTGTTCACATATAATTAAAGAAGAATCTTCCATGGCATTTCAGGTAACTTTGGGAAATTCTGCTACAGCATTCCCTGTAATAAAAGTTGTTCAGAAAGTGCACACGAACATGAAAAAGAAAATCTTAACTATTTCTTTTGGCCCTCCAGAATTATCTAATTTGTTCCTTCCAAGAAGTTAAATGAGTAACTCAAAACTGAGTTGAAGAAGTTACGGTCTCCTGATTTATCTATAACACTTTGGATTTCTTTCTTCTATTTTTTAGAGTTAAGGATGCTTCTTTTGGTTCTTAAAAATCAGTACCAAAGCCGAGCGGCAAACATCACTCCTGGTAGAGGATAGGGCAGAGGCTGTAAAACTGAGAAACAGATGAATCCCAGGGAAGTTACTGCCTCCTACGCTTGCGTGTGGCAAGATGCTGTTGCTGATGGTAGATAGGAAAGTCAGTTTGAGAACCCTCTCACTTAAAATGTCAACGGTATCTGAAATATTTGACGTGTTCGGAAGGGTAATATCACTTCATTCCAGGAATCAGTCACTACATGTGCTTAAAGATGTGCCAAATCTTCATCAAAGTTGAGAGGTGATAAGTCATTTTATTGAAAAGACTAGCAGTAGTTTTATCCTTCCAATAAAACGCCGCTCTTGGGAATCTTCAATACCAAAGAACATGTTTTCTGATTAAAAATTAAATAATTTCCTGCTGAAGCAATATTGTTAACATTATACAGAGGATTTAAAATCCAGGTTGTAAATTCCACTTATGTATGCGTAGGTGGGTACACCTGCCTGGTACTTGGAAACTTTGTAATGTAATTGTGTTTGGTTTTTTTTAAAGCTATAGCTAGTGATTTTTTTTTAACAATGTAAGTTAAAATTGGTGGTAGCAGTATTTTGGCTCCAAAATAAAAGTTAAAACTAATTTTTTTCTGTTGTTGACATATGAGAAAACACATAATAAGGACTGAGCACTTCAAGGAGAAATAGATGATGTTTTCTTTTTACAGATGTCTGCCCAAGACAGTCACCAAACCCAGGTGCTCAAAACTGATGAAATCGTTGCAAAGCTCCTGGATATTTTAGGTTTAATTTCATTTAGCTTCTGCAGCAGAAAAGCTTATATTTCTTTGATGGATTAGAACTCTCTTCTGGGATTTTATTTCAAAATTAGCAATAGTGGTGGATTACATTGAAAGTCTCATAAGCTTTGGGTTTCTTCGTAGTATTTTTGTAGTGGAAATGAGATTATCAGAAGCACTTTGCGTTGCCATAGTTCACTGACATCAGTGTATACTGCTTATCCTGGGTAACTTATTTTCTGAGCCATTTTTTATACTAATGATTGCTTATGCCCAATTTTTCTGTTGCTCCTGTTGTTTCAGTGGTAAAGAAAAAAGACGGGCTTCATAAGTTAGTTATATACGTGGAAGGAGAACAGAACTTTGCAACTTAGCAATCTATAAATAGTGCAGCTCTGAGTAGTATGATACTACAAAAAATATTTTTCAGACCTGACTAGCGTTAGGTTATATAATAGTAAAATTATTAAATGAGCAGTGAAACAGATATTAGAGAGACAAAAAATACCAGGTGTGGAAAAGTAATAACCTAGGTTTGTGTTTAAAAAAAACCCAACATATTAGTAGGTTGCACATGCTCCTGAATTGGGAGCCTAGGTACTATTTTTAACTGGAAAAGCAGCTTTGAAACTGGTATTACCCCGTGCGATGTGTACGCGTGCAGGAAAAGGAAAGGCAGGTGAATGTCTTAAACCATGGAATTGTTTATGTAAGAGGACAGACAGACATTCTCTATTCTCTGTGGGAGTTTATGCTGGGTGTTTGAGATAGAGGAGGCAGCATTATGGTCAGAGTGACCGTCGGAGTGAAGAAAAGTAATCTGTGTGTTGCTCTTTCAGGTTTGAGTATGAGCACAGTTGAAGAAGAGTCTGACACAGTGACAGTAGAAACCGTGAACTCTGTGACTTTGACTCAGGACACTGAAGGGAACCTTATACTTCATTGCCCTCAAAATGGTATAGAATTGTATTGCATGGTATTTCTCCTTTTTTAATTGATCCAACCATCATACTTCTCTGCCCTCAAATTCAGTGAGCTACTTAGATTCAGCTTACTGCGCTGCACTTTGTTCTGCTTCAGTTCAAAGACAGGTAGTGACAAATTCAGTGTAAATCACAGAATTCTGTACGTGTGTGCCCAACAAGAATATAGCTGTTCTGATCCATTTCAGTGGAAATGGCTTCTTAGAACCAAGCATGTACCCAGATACCTGTAGGCTTAAGGGACTGGTTTGTGTGTAATGGACTGAGGGTGGAGTTTACATGAAAATCTCACAGAAAATATATGTAGAAGAAAGTGTGTGAACTGTTACTGCCCGTAACTCAGACCAAGTGCCTGGGCAGGAGTAAAACACTGAACCAACCTATCACATCTGCTTCTACCTTTTGATTTGGTCTGCTTTATTAACAGAAAGTAAACCGTGTTATGTTTTTGTTGTTAGAAACCGATGAAGTAGACTCTGAAGACAGCACTGAACCTCCACACAAGAGGCTTTGCTTATCAGAGGATGATCAAAGCCTTGATGATTCCACTCCCTGCATTTCTGTTGTTGCAGTTCCCAGTAAGTTCTCTTATGTACTCTTGTAGCAAATGTTTCTGTTGGTAAGTGTTAAAAGTGGACTCTTCGGATGACATTAGAATATTTCACGTTTTATTTTCAAATTCTGTTAATATACTTAGATATCATCTTTACCTCTCAGAGCCTTGGATAGTTTTACAGCAGTTGTTATCTGTACAGTACTGACAAAATAAACCTGCCTTGCAGATAGAAGATTGCAGGCACAGGTGCACTGAATAAGATCAAAGATAAGTGAATGAACAACAAACTAGATACAAAGAGTGATGAGGGTTTTTTTAATGATCAAACACTATCGTTGGTATTCCCGTGTTTTGTAACACTGAGATGCATGGTCTTTTTAAGGTGGAGATTTGTACTTTTTTTCTGTTGTTGACATATGAGAAAACACATAATAAGGACTGAGCACTTCAAGGAGAAATAGATGATGTTTTCTTTTTACAGATGTCTGCCCAAGACAGTCACCAAACCCAGGTGCTCAAAACTGATGAAATCGTTGCAAAGCTCCTGGATATTTTAGGTTTAATTTCATTTAGCTTCTGCAGCAGAAAAGCTTATATTTCTTTGATGGATTAGAACTCTCTTGTGGGATTTTATTTCAAAATTAGCAATAGTGGTGGATTACATTGAAAGTCTCATAAGCTTTGGGTTTCTTCGTAGTATTTTTGTAGTGGAAATGAGATTATCAGAAGCAATTTTCGTTGCCATAGTTCACTGACATCAGTGTATACTGCTTATCCTGGGTAACTTATTTTCTGAGCCATTTTTTATACTAATGATTGCTTATGCCCAATTTTTCTGTTGCTCCTGTTGTTTCAGTGGTAAAGAAAAAAGACGGGCTTCATAAGTTAGTTATATACGTGGAAGGAGAACAGAACTTTGCAACTTAGCAATCTATAAATAGTGCAGCTATGAGTAGTTTGATACTACAAAAAATATTTTTCAGACCTGACTAGCGTTAGGTTATATAATAGTAAAATTATTAAATGAGCAGTGAAACAGATATTAGAGAGACAAAAAATACCAGGTGTGGAAAAGTAATAACCTAGGTTTGTGTTTAAAAAAAACCCAACATATTAGTAGGTTGCACATGCTCCTGAATTGGGAGCCTAGGTACTATTTTTAACTGGAAAAGCAGCTTTGAAACTGGTATTACCCCGTGCGATGTGTACGCGTGCAGGAAAAGGAAAGGCAGGTGAATGTCTTAAACCGTGGAATTGTTTATGTAAGAGGACAGACAGACATTCTCTATTCTCTGTGGGAGTTTATGCTGGGAGTTTGAGATAAAGGAGGCAGCATTATGGTCAGAGTGAAGAAAAGTAATCTGTGTGTTGCTCTTTCAGGTTTGAGTATGAGCACAGTTGAAGAAGAGTCTGACACAGTGACAGTAGAAACCGTGAACTCTGTGACTTTGACTCAGGACACTGAAGGGAACCTTATACTTCATTGCCCTCAAAATGGTATAGAATTGTATTGCATGGTATTTCTCCTTTTTTTCATTGATCCAACCATCATACTTCTCTGCCCTCAAATTCAGTGAGCTACTTAGATTCAGCTTACTGCGCTGCACTTTGTTCTGCTTCAGTTCAAAGACAGGTAGTGACAAATTCAGTGTAAATCACAGAATTCTGTATGTGTGTGCCCAACAAGAATATAGCTGTTCTGATCCATTTCAGTGGAAATGGCTTCTTAGAACCAAGCATGTACCCAGATACCTGTAGGCTTAAGGGACTGGTTTGTGTGTAATGGACTGAGGATGGAGTTTACATGAAAATCTCACAGAAAATATATGTAGAAGAAAGTGTGTGAACTGTTACTGCCCATAACTCAGACCAAGTGCCTGGGCAGGAGTAAAACGCTGAACCAACCTATCACATCTGCTTCTACCTTTTGATTTGGTCCACTTTGTTAACAGAAGGTAACACATGTTATGTTTTTGTTGTTAGAAACCGATGAAGTAGACTCTGAAGACAGCACTGAACCTCCACACAAGAGGCTTTGCTTATCAGAGGATGATCAAAGCCTTGATGATTCCACTCCCTGCATTTCTGTTGTTGCAGTTCCCAGTAAGTTCTCTTATGTACTCTTGTAGCAAATGTTTCTGTTGGTAAGTGTTAAAAGTGGACTCTTCGGATGACATTAGAATATTTCACGTTTTATTTTCAAATTCTGTTAATATACTTAGATATCATCTTTACCTCTCAGAGCCTTGGATAGTTTTACAGCAGTTGTTATCTGTACAGTACTGACAAAATAAACCTGCCTTGCAGATAGAAGATTGCAGGCACAGGTGCACTGAATAAGATCAAAGATAAGTGAATGAACAACAAACTAGATACAAAGAGTGATGAGGGTTTTTTTAATGATCAAACACTATCGTTGGTATTCCCGTGTTTTGTAACACTGAGATGCATGGTCTTTTTAAGGTGGAGATTTGTACAAAAGATAGGCTGAGTACTGAATTAGTCCTAAAGAAGTTGATTGAGTATTAGAGAGTTCAATATAATTTCCCAAAGGGAGGCAAAACCAGATCTAGTAAGTTAAAATACCAATTTACAATACATAGGGTGGCTGTTTATTTGGTGGAACTTAGTAGAAAGCCCTTAGAAGTAAAGGCATTATCATGTTGAAGTTGAAGGAAAACGGGAGAAGAGGAATGCAGCTGAAAAATATAAATGTTGTCCTTTAGTGATTGGAAAAGGGGGCATTGATACAGTACCAAATGTCTGCACCAAATCAAACACATTTTATTTATGTGTTTCACATTAGGCCTTAGTTATAGACAAGTACAAAACTGAAAGTTTTAAAACCCATATTTAGATTTTGCACCAAATCAAACATCTTTTATTTATGTGTTTCACATTAGGTCTTAGTTATAGACAAGTACAAAACTGTAAGTTTTAAAACCCATATTTAAATTTTACAAAGAGCAACAGTGGATAGTCATCTTGATAATTTTACTATGTCAACAAATCAATACCGATTAAGGCCTCTTTAAAATATTCAGTGCAAAGCTAGCAATTTAGAAAACCTGTAGCATGCATAAAAAAAAGTTACAAGAGAAAAGCAGACAACTAACTTGTCCATTCTGAAGTTTCAGAAAATGATCAGAGCTTTGAGGTGACCATGACTGCTACCACTGAGGTAGCTGAAGATGAAATTAACGAAGGAACTGTTACTCAGATTCAGGTATAGTAAAACTTCTAAATTGACCTATTTGATGTACGTTTTTATTTTAATTGAAATGAAAAGGGAAACAAACAGTAGAAGGGGCTTATTAAATGAATAGGATTATTTTTAGTCTGAAACTGATGTATTTGAGCACTGCACCAAATCAAACACATTTTATTTATGTGTTTCACATTAGGCCTTAGTTATAGACAAGTACAAAACTGAAAGTTTTAAAACCCATATTTAGATTTTATGAAGAGCAACAGTGGATAGTCATCTTGATAATTTTACTATGTCAACAAATCAATACCGATTAAGGCCTCTTTAAAATATTCAGTGCAAAGCTAGCAATTTAGAAAACCTGTAGCATGCATAAAAAAAAGTTACAAGAGAAAAGCAGACAACTAACTTGTCCATTCTGAAGTTTCAGAAAATGATCAGAGCTTTGAGGTGACCATGACTGCTACCACTGAGGTAGCTGAAGATGAAATTAACGAAGGAACTGTTACTCAGATTCAGGTACAGTAAAACTTCTAAATTGACCTACTTGATGTACGTTTTTATTTAAATTGAAATGAAAAGGGAAACAAATCCTATTCATTAAATGAATAGGATTATTTTTAGTCTGATGTATTTGAGCATGGATCTTGTTTGCAGAATGTTGTTCTATAAAAGTGCAATTGAATCATTTTATATACGAAAGAGGTTATTTGTAGTTTAACTTCCTGCCCAAAGAGCAACACAGAAAACAGTAATAGATTTAACCCTCCACTGATAATTACTTGCTCTCTGGTGATCTGCATAGAAGACAAGTTTATCTGTTGCTTCTATCACTCTTTGGTTATAAATCATGCTTTATAACAGGCCTAAATACTCTTTGTCCTGTCACCAGTCCTAACAGTTACATAGACTTCTCATTGTGGGTGCGTCATGTTTAAAAGTTTTACACTGGAGATGCTGAACATAGTCCTCTTTACACCAAAGCCAGTAAGACACTTCCTATTCACTATACATTAAATGGGATGAAGAATGTTATTTAATAAATTCTCAGAACATCTGTATGTTAAGGTATTAAATCTTACTGGTGTTTTAAGATAGGTGAATGTACTTTCAATGCCGTATCTAAAAAGTAGCACTTTCTGAGCAGTCAGTGAGGTAACCAGGTGTGCTGGTTTAATTTTCCTTCAAGTTATGCCTCCATGTTAAATGCAAGGTGACAGAAAGAACTGCAGATCTTACTGGATGATTTCCTGTTGGTCTTTTCAAGATTCTTCAGAATGAACAGCTGGATGAAATCTCCCCAATGGGCAATGAAGAAGTGTCAGCTGTTAGTCAGGCCTGGTTCACAACCAAAGAGGATAAGGATTCTCTAACAAATAAAGGTAAGATATTTCAAATGCAACTCTCCCATGCTTTAAAAAGGTAAGCTATTCCAAATGCCTCAGAACATTTTGCAGGTTGCACAAAGTAATCTCTGGTCTGGCTTTTTTAGTGAAGATATTTGACGAAACTGATTCTAAAAATGCTGAGAGAAGTAATGCATTAAGTCTTCGCCATCCCTCTTACACCTTGTATGCAAGAAGAGAGTTGGCACTGCAGATGCACTTGGGAGAGGAAGAGGGGACAGGCTTGGAGTGGTGACAGTGATTTCTGTGGCTGTAGTAGGGAACTGCTGTGTGTTGGCACAGGCTGGGCAGACAGTTGTGTCTGCTCCGTTGGACTGTTGCCTGGTTGGGAGCTGGGAGGCTGCAATCGGAGGAGGGTACAACAGGAAAAAAACTAATCTGTGCTCAGGTTAATAGTCTTCCTCCAAAGAGGGCTTATTAGTCTGGCTGCAGTGTTGTGATTCATACTAAACTGTTTCTGGAATGGAGTTGCCTCAGAAGAGGAGGGATTACGCAGATCAGGATGTACTGAAATAATCACTGCTACTCCTAAAACTGCCACCCCATTGGCATTCCTCCTTCTCCAAATGCATCTGTGCAATCATGTAGTAGTTGCTGAACTTTAGAGCTTTTCTGTTCTTTTTTTCCCCCAAGGGAAGTGCCTTTCTAAACCTGGAGAAACAACTCGGTGTCAGATGAAAACGTGTTGTCTCTTCAGTTTCCTCAGTCTCTGGACTATTTTTCTGACACTGACTTTACCTCTTTCGTGGAGGAAAAAAAATGCCTTTTTCAGTCAGTCCAAAGCAACTCCCTTTTTTACTAGAAAACTTTAGGAAAAAAAGTAATGGTTTTCTGTCATAGAAGCAAATCATCTCTTACCCAATGAGTTCTACTCTAGAAAGCTGAGAATCCTGCTGAGCCAGTGAAAAAATGTGAGGCACCCAGAACCTGGGTGTTGGGTGTGGAAAATTCAGAGAAAGGGAACTGACCAGCCAAGTTAATGACCATTTCACTCACTGATCCCAAGTGTGCACTAACAGTTGCTTCTAACAGCCAATAAATAATTTCTCCCCGATATCTCTGTCCTTCTTTATTAGATTTACAGGGCATCAAAGCTATTGAGTGTTCACTGAGAGGACTGGGGCAGAGGTGGGGTAGCAAAGAGAGCCCTTTGCCTCTCGGTATTGAGGCAGCTGGATGGAAGTAGAGAGAAATCACATTGCTGTGCTCCAGCGTGAGAGGAAGCACGGAGATTATGATCTCCCCAGTAGCCAGTGGTGAAGGACTTAGGGAGCAGCACGTTCTCAGCTGTGACAGGGGGAGCATGTACTGGTGATTTGGCAGAGAAATTACTGTTTTCATGTGACTTGGTAGCCTCGTGTTTGATGTGTGTCTTGTTAAACATATTAGAAACTTACAGCATTTGTTCCTTTTTGTAGCTGTCTCACAGGCGTGTCAAGTGACCACACATCACAAGGGGCGTTTACAGCTGTGGATGAATGAGGGCACTAAATCTGGTGATTCTAATTAAGAGAATTAGAACTTTTCTTGGGGTCTCCATGCTCTGTCACAGAGAACAGCTGTGAAAGAATCTCCCTGTGTGTCTTCT